TAAGTCCCATAATTGAACACTATCGCGAAGGTGAGAATTGTAACTAAGCTGTGTTCAATTAAAGTAAGGCTATAACTGAACACTGCACTACTAAGGTGAGAATTGTAACTAAGTTGTGTGCAGAACAATGAGGAGTGAATTATACCGTCAAGGTAAAGATTGAAACAACACATTGTGTCATGAAATCTAGAACTTTAACTGAAATCCGGACTGATAGTGAGGATTGTAACTAAGTTGTGTACAGAACAATGAGGAGTAATTATACCGTCAAGGTAAAGATTGAAACAACACATTGTGTCATGAAATCTAGAACTTTAACTGAAATCCGGACTGATAGTGAGGATTGTAACTAAGTTGTGTACAGGAGGAGTAATTATACCGTCAAGGTAAAGATTGAAACAACACATTGTGTCATGAAATCTAGAACTTTAACTGAAATCCGGACTGATAGTGAGGATTGTAACTAAACGTTACTATCAAGATGAGGACTATAACAAAACTTTGTATATTCAAGGCTATACGTTGCCAAAGGGTGGAGATAAATTAAAATGTTTATCGTCAAAGCGAGGACTACAACTGATTTTAAGTGAAGAAAGTGGTTGAAGTGATGTTATATCTTTAGCTTTATATCTTTATGTTAGCTTTATAACATTTTAAAAATTATCTGTTTTTGTAATAATTAATAATCTCGAGTTTAAAAAAAAATGGAATACACATCTAAGAAGTCTTACGTACGTGTGGAGAATCCACTTTCCATCTTACTAGAAGACTTACAGGATTACTAACGATCAATTTATTAATATATGTATTTAAATATACATACATGCATTAATGTAAACCAGAGGCCTATTAGTTGATCATCTCAACGTCCGTTTGTGCTGACGATGTCTTTATGTCATGCACTCTGTTAGGTGTCTATGTCCTCGTGAAATTCAAAACCTTTCTTCTCAAGTATTTAGGTTTTTTTCTTTGCGTAAAGATAATTATTTCGACTTGTTTCCAAACAAACCCTGTATGCATATATGCAGTGGTGTGTATCTATTTCGTAGCCTTCTAAACACGTGGTAACACCCACTACAGTACTACGTTTACGAAAATACAGCGATTGCACCTCCTTGTGATCATGAATCAAACAGCATGACATTTATTAACACACACACACACACATCTACATTATGATTTTTTCCACACCTACACAATATTTTGCTTTGCCTCTACATGGGAATATTTCTAGTATGAAAAGTTATCGGTATGCACTCAGTACGTTATCACAGTTTTATGTGTCACAGATTTTCTCTATATTTTTTTGGGGGTGTTTTCTTTTTCCAAGTATGACTAAACGTTCTCATGTATAGTAAAGATATCGTAGGCCACGTGTGGGAGGAATCGTTTGACAGCTATAGATTGCTGGTGAATTCTTCATTTTCTTTCTATATTTCTTTCCTTGTTTTAAGTCTGTGTTTTGTTTGTTGGCTATATATTTAAGAACTTAGTTGATGATAGTAAGCTGATGTTCATACGCTTCAGCCTACGCAAACCACATTAATTATTGGCCCGAATTCTTCAAATTGAGATTTAGTTGTTGTTTTTCTCCTAATCTCATCTTCACAGCTGCATCCTGTTTGTTTCGCATTCAAGACAGAAATAAGATTTAAATATAATATAATCTGAAATTTTCATGTTTGAAACGTAAGCACTTTCCCATCACTACTGATGAACAGAAATCAGCTATTCCAGCGAATACAGGAAGTCACGAATGGAACAAGACGAAATATCCCACTTCCTATGGCATTATTAGCATTTTGTAACTCAAACTGTTGTGTTTAAGAAGATGTATGAAATTAATAACCACGAGACCTGTATATCCACAGCAAGGGAGAATTTTTCTACTATATTTCGTCAAGAATTTTATGAACCATAAATACTGGAAAATTTCGGTATGTAATCTGTAGTAATTTCCCGCTTTTTCTCGATTTTTTTGTTTCCTTTTCATAATTGGCAATTTTCATTACGAAGTTAATTTTTTTTCGTACGTGAAGTCTTATTAGGGATTCAGTTAGGTGGAGAAACTCCAAACTCGATCTTGGTTTCTTCTGATTTAAAATATTGTTGGGTTAGTTACACTGAGACTTTAAAATATTGTCACTGTTTACCTATTTATGGTCGTATGGATGTATTTTTGATAACATCCTGATCCTTTCTGGTATTTAACCTGATATTTATTGAGTTGCTTAATTTAAACCTGAAAAGGACTAAGTACTGGTTTTGATTTCTGTGTTAAAATGTGTTTCAGTTTTGACTCCTAGAGTTGCGACAGATTTGGATGAAACATCATAGTGTGGTGAGTTTCAAACATGAACAAATCTTTAAATTTTGTGATATAAGTCAGAGTTCAAGGCTACTTGTTGGTGCCACGAAACGGTATTTCAACGAGAATGGGTTGATTTATTCAAATACCTTATTTAAGACAACATTTGCAATGGATGTAATTGGGCAGTACAAAAACACAAGCGATAGATAGCTTATATACAAAACACTAATTATAATATTTGTAATAAAGTAATGACAACGATTTTTTTGTTAAATGGCCGAGTAAATATTTATGAAAGAGCGTAAGAACATGTTATTGAAAAATAATAGGTTTGTGTGAAACGTCTGAAATAGCTATTGTCAGGGTGGCTCATTTGCAAACAAGTGTTTTACAGTGAGGCATCCACTTTTTGATTTTTCTTTTAGTCTTTTTCTTTTCATTTATTTACCTACCCCCATTTAATCCGGATCTGCTTACATTGTTCTCCTGATAAACGCAGACAATGTTTTGATGATGTAGATATATCTTACACTAGTTATTCAAATAGCTGCCTCTTAGCAGCACTACAAGTGAATATAATATTTTTAAAATACTATATAGAATTTATATTATATTTCTTATTCTAAGTATGTACATTGACCACATTTGTCAGTGCGTAATCCCCGCTGTGCGTTTCTTTTTGTATTCTCAGATAAGCATTCTTAAATATATACTAGATCGGTGCTTCTCAGATTGATTTGCCAGACGACCCCCGCGTCCGAACTTTGATCGTCGCCCCCCCCCCATTATTTCTACAAGAATGAACAAATTATCGATATTTCTCAGCGCAGTTCATCATAGCTCATGACAAAGGAGAAATATGCCCCTCTCAGACAGCTCGAGGACTCAAAAATTGACTCAGCGTAGACAAGCTCATGACCCCTCTGGAAACTTGCTCGCGACTCACAAGGGGGTCGCGATCCACCGTTTGAGAAACACTACACTAGATAAATAAACCACGACCCTTTAAACACAAATAATATGACAGAAAGTAGTAAACAATATTCAAATATCGTTGTGATGTGAGCCACAGAGACCAGCCCCATGCACACAACTTCTGCTTATTCAAAGAACATATGTGAATTTCACTTTATATGTGTATAAGACAACTCGTATTTTCTCCTATAAAAACAAAAGATAGTTATTACTACGGAGTTACATTTTTACTTTTTGGGCTTTGTGTACCACCTTCTCCGATCCCACCCCCAAATACAAACATCAATGGATTTAATTAATCTTTATCAGCTTTTTGGAAAAAAAAACGACTTTTTTTTCATTTGGAACAAAAACAATTTTTATACTTTCTTCTCTAAGAGCTTAACCTTCCTAATTTGTTAATCCTGTCGCACAAAAACTTATGCTTGTTTTTCTTTAAGAAATTAACCTTAGTAACTTGTTAATTCTATTATATTTTGTCTGTAGTTAAACACAAAGCTAGACAATGGGCTATCTGTGATATGTCTCCACGGGTATCGAATCCCATTTTTCAGTGGTATAAGCCTTCAGACTTGCTGCGGAACCACTGTGAGGCTCCTGTCGTACAAAAACACGTGTTTTATATCTTCTTCTTTAAGAGCTGAATCTCCCTACTTGTTAATCTTGTCATACAAAAACACTTGTATGTATTTTATTCATTAAGAGCCTAACATCCCTAGCTTGTTTGTTAACCTTATCGCTCTTCTTTTCACAAAGTAGTTAAACACACGCACATGCTTGGATTTATAGAACTATGAATCCGTTTTTCTTTAAACTATGTAACCTTTTCAAATCTTGTTATAAGGGGAGTTAAAGGTAATGGAAGCTCGTAATTCTTATTTATACATAAAACAAACAAAAGTAAGCCAAAGTAAACAAAAGAAGAGCTCAAAATCTATCAAACTTGTAATAAGTTCTATAAGATGTAAAAAACATAACCTAAACCCAGAAATAGGCGATATAAAATTCATCTGATTTAAATCACAAGCTATTCTAGGTTACGTGACGTTATATAATGAAATGTTATGTCTTAGGTAATCATTTTTAGTGTTTTTTTTTTCATTCGCAAATAATCCATCATTATAATAGTCAATTTTTGTCTGTCCTGAAATTTGCGCGCACCTTACTATCTAACTGCGCATGCACGCGCACTCCATTTTCACGGATGTAAATATACTTTAGTAGACATTTTGTACAACATATTAAAAGCTTATCAAAGTTTTTAAATAACTTTAACATTAGGTCGTAGAATAACATTATAAGTTTATTTAGTGATATTATTAAGTACGATAAAGTTTAGTCCTAACTAAACTAAAGCAAAAAACGTACACAAGTTAGTGTTCATTTATTTCTTTATCGAGTATAGGCCGTATCTAATAAAGTCTTAACTAACGTTAAGCCTAAGACAAGATTTCGGTGTCTGCAATTAGTATTATTTTGTATTTTTCTAGATATCGTGTATTTGAAGAAGTACTGTTGCAATAAGAATACTACTTTGACTGTAAATGTTTTGCAAGTCTTTGCTAGTATGATTATAATGTCATTACATTTCAGTACTTTGGGAGCGTAATTATGACCTCACCTGCTATCACATTGAACGATACTAATTGAATATATGTACAAAATACACAAGCAGATAGATATATGGGATAATTATATGTTTTTTGTTTGACAGAGGTCATTATTGTTGGTTACAAATGGATAGAAAAGTTATGGAACATCAGTTTCCGAAGAAATATAACAACGGTCCCCTAATTCTTCATTTCATGATAAAGTAAGTAACATTGTACTCCTTATGACTTAATTACCCATTTTTAAGATTTATTTCTTAAAACTACCGAATATTCTTTATTACATAAAGAACCATCTAAAAGCTGTTTAAATCATTTTGCTACTGAAACACACATAATCAGTTCTACTTGTGACCATATTTTACGTTAAACCAAAGTAAAGTACATTTGGCTTTTATGTAGATGTAACACCAAAGAAGAACTAAATGGCATGAAGAAATATAGGTGCTTTTCAAGAACTTAAAGCTGAATTCTGATTGTTTACATCTATAACTAGAGGATGTTGCAACTTGAACGTTAAAAAAGAAAACCCGATAATTTTTTACTTACTAAACAAATTGCTTGAAATTTTGTGGCCGAGTACTAATAACATGATGTGTTTAAATTATATATCCACTAGAGATAACTGTAAAGTCAATTTAGCTAATGAACTACACTAATGACTTGCCTCTAGACTGAGGACTAATGAAACTAGTGGTACGACAGATCGGCTAAGCGAAGACTCAATAATTCACTTATTGAAACGTCCGCTGTGACTCAGCGATAAATCTGAGCGCTTATAACGCTAAAAATCTGGTTTCGGTGCTCTAGATGAGCACAGCACAGATAGCCTATAGTGCTGCTTTGTGCTGAACAGCAAACACATTTATTATAACGAAAGTCACAAAATTACTTGCCAGCTAAAGTATTGGGGGTCTTCCAAAAGTTGTTGGTAAACAAATCAAAAAACAAAATAAGAACCATTTAAGTGACTACTTTCTAATATTGCACAATGATGATGAACAGCTTGATCAAGAGTATTTTAAGTTTAACTCAGCCACTGCTTTGTTATGATTAGTATCATATACTATTTATCCTCCTTCCCTACTTTTGGCCCCCCAGTGGCACAGCGGTATGTCTGCGGACTTACAATGCTAGAAACCGGGTTTCGATACTCGTGGTGGGCAGAGCACAGATAGCCCATTGTGCAGCTTTGTGCTTAACTTCAAACAAGCAAACAAATCCCTACCTCTGTGCAGTGTTCAATCTATTATCATAGAGTAAAGGTGTACTTTCAACGTGAACTTATTTTTGGCGCATGTGTTTAAGACATGACAGTCTAAGCAAAGAACAAGTCACAAATGTAGACCAATCAACTGATCATGAAATTTACCTTTAAAATAACATCCGTTAAAATTGTTCTCTAACGATAAACTGATAAATATAATCGAATAAGCTGAATATAAAGCTGAAATTAAAGAGTTTATCATTATTTAACTTTCTAATTATTTCTCTTGCATTTATGTTAAAGGTCTTGAGGATATTGTAGTTGGAAGGATATTGTCCTAAGCGTTTTCGGGTAAACTCCGTAGAATAACGGGCAGGGCCGGATTAAGGTTTAGTGTGGCCCTAAACCCAGGTAATATTTGGGAATAATAATAATAACTCACTCCTGCCCCCATTCTGTCAGTTTTACGAACCACAATTTATTTTTATCTGCGTGGCCGGCGAGACTCTCTGGGTTAATCCGCTATTGATGACAAGAAGTTCGACATAATTATTTGTAAAAGTAAACTAACAGTTATACGACTCTGAGCAGCGAAGAAGAAAGAGACTGGACACAACGTATCTATTTCACAAACAGTCAGAATGTGAGCGTATTCACGACATGCGACGCTTTTACTGGAGACTGTATTTGTTTTTATTGTAAAACTGCCTTCCTTAATTTGAATTACTGATAAAAGGCAGTTAGTCAGCAGCACCTTACCATCCATGTTAAGAGATTGACTGTCACTGTTATAATTCATCCGTGGCTTAAATTGCGGAGAATATTTTATAGTATCACATGGACTCGAACCGGCTCACTAGCTTCAAAAATCTAGATCTCTATCACAGGGCCAACCTACACTTACTGGAGACTGAAAGTGATCTGTTGGATGTTGGTGCAAATCTGTTTCAATAATTGTACCAGAATGAGAAAATATAGCTCTATATATGAAACAATAATGTCATTCTTTCTCAGGGCGCGTGAACTATCTACGTCACTGATAGTCATTAACCATCGAAAAATAAGGAGGTTGTAATTTCAAGATATCGCCTGATCAGGTGGATGACCCAGAACAATAGGTACTTATGGGGGAAATGGTTGTTTGTTTGTTTATTCTATCACAAAACTCCCTAATAGGCCATATGTGCTCTGTCCACCGCGAGGAATCGGACCCCGGGTTTTAGCGTTGCAAATCGTTAAACTTACCACTGACCCACGGGGGACACGGTGAAATAAATTTAGGTACTTCTTTGACCAATTTTTTATGTGCATTGGCGAGATATAGGACCAAAATTATTGTGAATGTCGTGTGTATACTATAGAAAAAAAGTGGGTGCAAGTGCTCTCCTTTGCCCCCCGCAATTTTACCCATGCTTATATGTACGACAAGTTTGAAACATTTTATGTGAACTTAAGAATACAATTTAGTAAATGAGGTAAAAAACTTTTAGTATGCCTGCATGTTTCCAAAACATTTTGTCGCAAATAAATTTGAAGAATTAAATTTAAGTACATTCAATTTGAATGTAAGTTAGAGCAATGACAGCTTAATCGAAAGTAATAACATTTGTGTACTGTCTTTAGGAAAAAAGACAGATTTTGTGCAATTGTTAGTTTGATGTTTCAAAACAAGTATCATACTAATGACAGTGTAAATCAGATCGTTGGGCCAGAAAAATCAGCATAAAAATCCAGAGCAAACAAAGCCAAGCTAAAAACTTCTTTGAATCGATGAAAATATGTGGAATGATAGTGCTTTGATTTTGATGTTCGAACACTATTATGTGTCGGAAGTTTAGATTGGCTTACAATTAACGTATTTTACTTTTCTTTGCTTCTTTAAGATAAGTTGTATTTATTGTTCTAGTAGAGCGATATATGTCGGAAGTTTAGATTGGCTTACAATTAACGTATTTTACTTTTCTTTGCTTCTTTAAGATAAGTTGTAAATATTGTTCTAGTAGAGCGAGAAAAATTAGCCTTTAAAAGAATAAATTTTCTTTTCCATGATGAAGTTTTTCGTTATGTAATTATTGCAGGATAAGTGAAACACTAGGTTAAGTTTTTAGCTCACATGAGAAAGAATTGAGACTGTGGATGCACCCATAACTGACGTCTTATTGTAAGCTTCACAGGGAAGTTCAACCGGAAGAAACACACATAATTTCCGTTTTCTCAGGGTTGTATTTCATGGAACTGCCACGGAACAATGAACATAAACTAAACATATACACATTTTAGTACTAGTAATAAACGACCTTATAAACACCACATTTGATATTTTTCGTTCATTAGGCACTCAACGTTTCACTTTACACCTTCAGGAGTGTTTCACTAAAACACAAACCGTAGTGGAACGCTTCTGGAGAAGCTGTAAAACGAAAAGTTGAGTGCCAAATTAAATAAGACTTGATGTTATAAGGTCATTGATTACTAGCATTAAGATGTCTTTTTTACACCAATATGCACAACAGAAATTAAACATATATATACAGTTCGGCATATTTGTAGAATCCACAGCTCTAGAGAAGTTCGATTTCCTTTCAATCAGTACAGTTACGAATCAAAGAAAATATGCGATGTTTGAAAATAATGGCGCGTTCTCGGTACTTTTAATGTTAATTCTGGGTAAAAGTACTAAACTCATTCTACAGCCTAGACGATAGGGAGTATTTGTGCTACATCAAAGAGCCAAGACAAAGGAATCATTTTGTGAAACGTGGAGTTGGGTATATATTGGTTACAGCACTTGACTGGCATTCTGAGGGTCGCTTATGTTCAGGAAGGCATATATAGTTTTGTCTATCTGCAGATATGAATGTTTGAAGACTATGTTTCGGGGCTCAAAATAATTTCGTAGTTAAATTGCCAAATCGTTTGTAATTTTTTTTCTACAATCACTGCATAAAAGTTCACTTATGCACCACCACCACCAGCTCCAAAACTTATGCACTGTAAGTCTGAAATTCTAATAAGTTCCGGGAACTTGTTTGATCAAAATATCTTGATAAAAAAATATAGGAAATGTAGATGTACCCAACATTCTCTGTGAAATAAAATATTATTATTACATTTAATTAATTAGTACCATTTAAATTGTTACAGTAATTCAAGTGAAACCAGTGTTGCATTATTTATTTACTTTTCAATCTGGCAAGTACGTTTGTTCACACGGTCAGTAACAGTTGTTATCCTAAATATTGAGAATCCCATTTCGTAACAAACAAAACCTATGAATCGGGAAGTGACTAACTAATTTACGTATTTTATTCACTCAGAGTCATATTATGGGAACATTTGTCAGGAAATACACAGACAGCATCATAAGCAACCGAAACGTCAGTTGTTGTTTTTTTTTTGTCTTTTTTTTTTTAACCACAAGCATTTATATGCTGGTGAAATCATCATCTTACCACAGTGGTAATGTGAACAGAAGGACCCTTAAGCACATTTTCCCCCATAGTTGATTTTGTGGATCAAAACAAGTGATAGTTATTTTCGTTCAACTTTGTAGTGTAACATATAAAGCAGTGGAGATAAAAGGTAAGCGCAGTTAATTGCTAAATATTTTGATATGAACAAAGGATTTATTATCGTTAACATATTTGTCTGGAACTACAGTTTTTATATTTATGCTTTTATATGACAGACGTTTCATGAAGCTAAATGAAAAAATTAGGCCTAAGGTGTTGCCTAATTTAATGTGAATAATTGGGATCACCTTGAGAATTTAGGTAAAAATATGGGATTTTCTTATGTGTTATAGACATGTCTTAGATTAAAGATAAACGAAATTGTTTATAAACTGACATAAAAACAAAGACAAGAAGCCTCATTATATAGAAGTTTTGAAAACATCTTCTTTTATTGTTATCTTTTACTTGTGTTGAATGTGGTTAAGGTTTAGTGAAATCATCTGTCGATAAACAGGTAGAAATATTTAAATACTGTCAAGGC